CAGTTGTATCCGTTTGTTGTACAGCCATGTGCTTCATAGATCCTTATCTGTTGTCCTGTCCCGGACAAAGCGGTTTCTCGTCCCAATCCCAGTTCCCCAAGAAGTTCCGGAACTCGGAGAATATATACGGTGTTCCAAGAAGGATAATTTACCAACTTCCCCATTGTGTCTATGTGCTTAATGACCATTCCACTTTCTTTTCTACAGAATTCGCCAGAGGCACAAATGCATCAAGGAAAATACAACCGCGCTCTGCTGTTGAGCTTCGCTCGGATGCGCATGAACACTACTCGTTACAGTTGCAGCGTTCTCTTGCTGCTATCCATGAGAGAATAATGCTTCGGGCCCAAACCGGTACATGACACATGAACCACCGGTTGCAGACATCACACTGCATGTTTCCCGACGCGCCAGTTACTGCCCTGCTAAAGTTCACTTTTCCACTTATAACCACCGAGTAAATCGGAAGAAGATCCGAAGATGAAAGGCAGGTAATTTTGAACTTCTTGCCTAAAAGAAAAATCAAGCAGAAAGTAGAAGCAGGCCAGTATGAGAGCAAAGAGGATATAAGGACCGGTCAACGCTAGCCAACTTTGAAATCGACAGAAGCTTTATCCGGAAGGACGAAGAGGACACGTTTGTATAAATATGGAGGCACCAGATATTAAAAATTGAGCGGCGGCTGTTGAGGACGTTGTTGTGGTAGTAACTTTGCAACCATTTATGAGGTGGTTAATGATCGCGGACGATCAATTACTTCAGGAACACTTTTAAGTTAGCCCTGTGCTAGTCCAAAATATTCCGCACAAAGCATCCGAGAAATGCTTGGATTATGAAACAAAAGAGGCGCAGCGTCAAACTGCAAAATACCAGCGGCGGCAATAGTAAAACAAAAAAGCTCATGCTCATTAGCCGGGACGGTCCCACCAAGGGATGGATGAGAAGTTTACAGGCAAGACGCCAAGGAAGAAGAAACGCAGCGGAATAACTCCGGTTAGGTTGGAAAGCCCTCACCTGAGGAAACTGGACAAATATGGGTTCCGAGGTTGCCTTTCGTACTGCTTTCGCGTCAGCACCGTGTGCCTGTAAAATATGTCGCAGTAGCAAATTCAAGCGTCATCACATCCTTGGTGTTCTCAAATTCCGATAATACTTTAGTAGCAAAGAACTAAACCAGTCGCAGTCCCTAACCAAGTCGACGGTTTCTAATGTGACTCCAAGGGATTTGAAGGCGTGATAAATCTAACTTATTGTCAAAAGGTAATGCAATGACAACAATTACTAATTGACATCAGTCTAGGCGAAACGTACAACCGCCATTTATACGTCACTATTGGACTTCACACCATGACATGTAGTTAGGATAACGTACTTACCGAACCTAACTAGCTGCTAGGCAAGGCTCCTAATCATAGTGGTCTCAGACCAACGGACCTGTTTGAACCAGCTGCAGCAGACAACTTACGGAGACAGCGCATAAATTTGTAGGAGCATAGATCCAGGCTACTGTTACGAGTCAGGTTCTTCGCAAACTGCATTTTGCCTGGTTGGGAACATCCTTCTGCCCTATTGGGATACGAAACTGTAGAGGAAGTTAAACGCAGCCAAGACACGCATCGGTTGGCGCTATTCCCAGCAATTGCCTGAGGTTTGATGACTGCCCAAAGCCACATTGCCTCACGAAATTGGGTTTCTCGTGCTACATTTGTTTCTGTTTTTCACTATTATAGAGCCCAGGCTATTCTATCCAATAGCAGTGCTGGAGGCTGCCTTCGCTTACTAGCACAGAAAACGGGAGGTTCGTTGAGCGCAAGCTTCTTTCGTCTTTGGGGCTGGTAAACCTTATGTTTGATGAATGTGAAGCAGACGAAATGTACTTTCCTTCGTATTGGAGGTGCAAGTCCCCCACGCGCTAGGTAGTTGTTGGGATTGAAAGCCCTGCTTTTACTCAGCAGATGGCGCTAGGATTAGTTCACATCTGAGTGCATCACTCTGCGGACCGTCGGAGAAAAATTGCTTGTACAGTGTTCCGTATTATGTGTTTTCTTTAGGGTTCCTTCGCTTTCTCAACGGCCGATATTATTATGAAGCTTTTCTCAGCCGGTGTGCTATTCCAAAGCATAACGCACCAAAGCATGTCCAGCACGCCTCGTAAGGGACACTATGAACTTGAGAGGGTCTTGCTAGTTGATCCAAGGTTAGTGCAAAGTTGACGGTGGCAAAGTATCCGAAGATTCGCTTAGCTTGGGTATCTACTAAATGCGCTATGTGTGAATTAGAGGGAACTTGTTCCTCCTACACCGGGTTCTAACGGATAAGGTCGATACAGACATTTCCTTGTCCCGTTGACTAGCGTTGAACGTTTCCTCAGAGTACGAGGGTTATAATTTAGCTGAGTTTACTGTGACGAGAAAACAAGTATTTTGGCAACTGAAAGTATTACAGCTTTCCAATGCAGCTTGACCTGCTTCAATTCACCGAAAGCTTCTGCATGAGTAGACGGTGGAATGAAGTGGAGCGCTGACGATGGTGTTTCAGAAGTCATTTGAAAGCTGCACATTACCTTCTGTATGAAAGAAGGCTGTCATCTGTCCTATCTTCAATAACGGCGACAGGATTTTGTCAGCCATTTATAGGCCAGTCAGTCTGACTAGCGTCGTGGTCAAACTGCTTGAAAAGCTGATGAGAGATTTGTTGGAGGATCACTTGAATAGATTTAATCTACTCAGCAGTGCATACCATGGATTCCAGAAGGGGTTTCCGTGTCTGACGAATTTGTTGGTTGCTCGTGAAGCTTGCGCCGAGGCAGTGGACAATGGCCACGCAGTGGACGTGCTTTTCTTAGACTTCTCGAAAGCATTTGATAAGGTACCCCACTTGAGGCTATCATAAAAGCTGAGGCCCTACGGCATATCTGGCCTCACCCTTCACTGGGTATCTGCGTTCTTGCAGGGAAGAGAGCCATGTGTACGTTTGGGTTGCAGCTTATCGTTTAGGCAGGCGCTGCTTAACGATTTCGCACATGGCTCGGTTCTTGGACCGACGCTCTTCTGAATTTAAATAATCGATATCGCTGGACGGCTTGGGGTATCATCCTATTGTTTGCGGATGACTTTAAACTGTGAAATGTTGTAAATGTCCGTGGTGATGCTTAAGCTATTTAGCATGTCCTTGACAGACAATGGGACTGATCTATTTTGTGACAAGAAACCCGTTAATCAGGCCTAGTGTACCGCTTTTATTGTAGAAGCAACATTCTTACCTCCAAGGTACTACCCGAAAGAGTCGAACTCCCTGTGTCTCTCACCAAGTTCACCTAGGCTTCGTCTAATCCTCCTCTCTGCATTCTGGTAAGCATTGGAAGAAGACCCTATGTATGGGGTTTCAGAAGGTCTTGGTTAATACGCCGTTCTTTGGGGGCTTAACTGCTAACATATTTGAAGCTGTTCTCAGTTTTCGTTCTTTCTCATCCGGCATAAATAACTAAATAACTAAATATTTTATTCACGATATAGCGAGGCACGCGTCTTCGGCGTGATCAGATTATTACAGGCTTGCACCTGGTAGCATGATTAGCAAGGCCAAGAGGAGGAGTACTGCAGGTGCAGTCAGAAGTGTGAAACCACATGGCCCAAACATTAGATTATGTCTATCTTCACAGAATGTGGGTTGTAAAGACTTAGATCATTGATGGGGAGTAACTTATGGATTAACTATTCCGATGGGGTTGTGTACACAGTGAGGGTTAGGTGAGTGAAGTTTGAGGATAAATTGGCAAAAATAAGTTATGTACAATGGGATGTCATTGCTCAACAATGTAGTCGTAGTCGTATGGCAGCAGATATATGCACCGAATTTGTGAGCTTTGGCATCTGTCAAGTTGCCAGTGAGTGGTTCGTGCAGTGACTTTACTTAGTAACGAGTCATACGCCACGTCGCATGGTGTTAAATAAACATCAGTGTCTCTTTGTAGGGAGAAAGCTTGCCAGGGGAAGACCAAATACATCCTGGAACACTGCGTCCAGGCTTGCTCGCTCTGTCAGCTTCGGGACATTATGGCGCTCGAGAGGGTTTGGGAGTAGGTAGCAAATTAGTCGAGGGGTCGGGGGCGATCGTACCAGGGGGTTCACTTAACTTGGTTATGCATTCAAAGCATTACCGACGGCTTCCAGGAGGTCTAATCCTTACTTACCGATTTTAACAGGGAAAGTTGGACCGGGTTTGAGCTGGCTATTTAGCCAGGCTAATTTGCCTTTTCTTCGCTGTCATCTCATGAAGCTACACCAACCCCGTTCCGACCGGATCAGGACGGATACTCGGTCATTGCGTAGAGTTACGGGGCGCTGGAACGTTCTCCGAGAAAGTGTTGCCAATGGGTTTTGTGCTGCAGTAAGACACTCTTGGGTGGAAGCAAGAAACCTTTCACCTTCCCT